TATATGGTATTTAGTGAAAACTAAAATGAAGATGGCTGATAGTCTGTGCTTGAGCCAAAGCTTCAAAGGTTGGATACCTCAAGGTTAGAATACTGATTCACACTTTTTGATATTATTTTCTTTTTTGGAAAGTAGGTTTTACTTCTTATTCAATGAATGCATGTTCGCAATCTGCGCAGTAAAAAATTAGATGTAAAGAAGCCGGAACCTTTTATACCAAAATTAAAAGTATCAAATTAACAGCAACTGGAGAAGATACACAAAACGGAATCTTAGTTGCCTCATAAAGGAACATTTTAGAATTCAGAAGAAACTTAAAATACTTCATTTTGCTATTTAAATTTTTTATCAAAAAATCTCGTCTGGTTATTGTGTTTAAAAGCACCTTCAAAAAAAATGACAACTTTTCTGCTTTAGCAGGTTGCTAGGTAGGAATAGACGATATATAATTTTTTAATAAGCTTCAGAAAAAGGGTAATAAACATGGCTCAGAAGTATCAAATAAAACGTCGACAAAAATTGTTGAAATTAGCGCAGAAACTTTTGATTAAATACCACCTATACTTTAGTGTTATCAATTCTCTGTACCTGATATTGATTTCATGAGGAGAATAAAAGCAAAGTTTTATTTTAAATATGGAAAAGTAAAATAAGAAAACTGGTAGTTTTTAATTTTAAAATTAATAAATTTTCTTTAGAAGCCAAAATTTTTTATAATCTCAAAAAAACCCAGTTTTCTAATCAGCTGTTTCATGAATTTTATATTGTGCTTTTCAGGAAAAATTAAAAGATATTCTTGCCTCAGTACTTTACTTGCAATCCTCCCGTTCCCATTTCAGCGTAAAATAAATCTGCTTCTTATGTTTACAAAACATGTGTAATTTTTTTCAGCCGACGTTCAAAACTGTAGCCGGCTTCCAAATTAAAAGAAAGTGAAGTACTAATTTTTTTAAAATAATACGGAAATAGTTGCTAAAAAAACACCTTAAAATTATGCTGTACAAAATGTCTGATATTTGTAAGGTTGAAAAAGAGAATAAGTACATTGAAAAAGAAGAAATTGAAGTGCAGTTTTAAGTCTATTCTAAAAATGCGTAATCGTTCAGCCGTGTTACAGTCTTCAAATTATATGCAATTTCAAAAAGGCTTAGCTTTTATATTTATATTTCAGCAGCTAGGTTTTAAGCCTTGCTTAGAGTTTTGCTGTATACTCGCTTCGATTAGAACAATAAAAAAGCAAAAGTCAAATTTAAGCAGTGTACGTATGAGATGTTTTATTAAACGTTGTATGGCGCTGTCAGTCGTCGCGCTGTAAAAAATAACTTTTCTGCACGAGCCATTACCATTTTGCAATTATGAACGGTATAATCTTAGCAACATAACAAAGCAAGCTTTCCAGAAACTTATATTTAGAAATTTGTTTTGACAAATATATAAATTATTCAAGCTGTATAGGATAATAAATAGATCACATAAACTGTTTCTTTTCTATTCCGATTTTAAAAACTCTTTTCTCAATGGTAGAACTTTGACGTTTCTTCAACATTTCATCATATTGTACAACAAACAGATAATCCCGGACAAGTGTTTTGTAAACGGCGAATAGACGAGGGGCATTAGCAGGTTGTTTTCATATGAACAAACGTGTACATAAACCTAAAAAGTAATAATGCGTTTTTTATTTTGATCATGTTTAATCGTTATTTTAACTGAAGAGCAATAATTTTTTTTTTCCAATAAGTATTTTAAGTTGCACTGTTCAAACAAACTAGTCTTTTTTTAAATTAATAAGTCTGTTTTGTTTGTCTTCTTCACGTTTCAATATTACAAAAATATTTTCTAACAAAATTTTTGTTGAAAGAAACGAATGAATTGAAAAGACAGAAAAAATGAAGTGCTTTCAGCGGTGAAAGTTTTACACGTAGTGTTCTTAGCCAACCAGAGTGGATAAATAACGATTAGAAAAGAGCCATTTCAGTATTGACCTTTGTTCAACCCTTCGTAAAGTACTGAATGCTTTTAAGCAAATGTCTCTCCACTTCGATGTGCTCATCCCGAAATGCAAAACGCAATGGTTTTTTCTGAAAATGACGAGACATACATTTAGAATCCTTTGTGTATCAGAAACGATCATTCTTTGCCTTGATAAATATGCCTAAAAAGTCTTTTACTGCTATGTTAAATCTCGACTGAAATTTATACAAATTACCAACTGTATCACCAACAGTGGCAAACTGTTTCAATACTTTCCTCCAGAACTTTGTAATAGAACCATACAAACGTAATATGCAAGAACTACTTTCTCAAGTACTAAACTAAATTAGTTTTGTAATGATAACTTTGCTAATCACCGTAAATTTTAATTGAGAACGTGTTCAATAGATCTAATACTGTATCACCAGCTTACCATACATTGCAACAATGTCAGCCGGTCTTGCGACTGGTTGTCTTACAACTTTGATGTGCCCATTCTCAGACGCCAAATGTAAGGGTGTCCGCTAAAGAAGAAAACAAATTTTCTGACTGCGTACTGCGGTTCAGAATATCAGTGACCGCGTATTATCTTATTTGACAAGTTACAGTAGCAATTTTTACAAGTGAAAAACTTTTACCGAACGGTCTTCTATTCTGTTGAGGTTGGTCGCTTTCTCAAAAAGGCTCACAACTTTCACGTTTCCATTCTTGAATTCCAGATGCAACGCTGTCCACTAAAAAAAAGAAACAAACAAAATAATTTTGACACTTGTTTGATTTAAAGCAGTTGAAACCTTTTTTTTTTTCAAATTAAAATAGCGAATCTTTTAAAAGAGCAGTTACCCCGCAACCTCTTATTTTATTGAGGTCGACCACGTTTTCCAAAAATTCTTATAACTTCGACGCGCTCATTCTCAAATTCAAATGTAACGGTGCCCACTGAAAAAGAACACGACGAATCCTCTTGGGATCAGTTAAACTTTCAAAAGAAATGAAAAAAAGAGAAGGAAATTCACCTGACAGCCTTTTATTTTGTTGGGGTCGACCGCGTTTTAGGCCAAGTCTCACAATCTCCATGTGTCCGTTTTCTAATTCAAATGCAACGATGTTCACTAAAAAAAAAAAAAACAAAAATAAAACATTTTTGAAATTTTCTGATATTTGAAGTAAACGGGGGTCATTTACAGTAGTCGCTTTTTTCTACAATGAATTAAAAACTCAGAATACAAGAAAACATTTACCGGACAGCTCCTCAATTTTGTTGAGGTCGGCCGCTCTTTTGGCCGGGTGCCTAACAACATCGATGTCCACATTCACAGATCCCCGCTCCCCATAATTGTGTACGCTAAAAAAAAAAAAAAACATGCTGATTCCTCATACTGGATAAAGATGGTCTGCCTTATTTCATTATCCTCTGCAGTCAACATATGCCTAATCTCTTCTTTTTTTTCAAGGTTTACCAAACTGAAGAATCCAGAACCAAAAATTTAGAACAAATACTTTTTAGCGAATTTGAAATTTACTTCATGCAGCAAATTTTTACCCTATCTTCATCCTTTGCATTGAAGCTGGTGGAATTTTGCAGAAAATCATCACCACATCAGTGCACACATCCCGAACTGTTATTAATACATGATTTATCTAAAATCAGCAAGCACTTTATCTAACTGCTTTAGTTTAAGATTGACCAAGTATTATCAGTCAGTTTCCTCATTTTAAACATTTTTACGTTGAAGTGTCATATCATTCATAAAAGCGTAAAGACCCAATAGCTATTTGCGCACTGTAAACTTGAACACAAAAAAAAATTTTTGTTTTGTGATATTTATTGCAACAAAGACAAACTGTAATTAGTTTCATCACCATAATAAAGTGATATATGTACATAGCATTTCATAAGTCATTAATTTTAAAACAAAAAACTTCCAAAAAATAAGGACAAATATTTTTTTCAATTTATTTAAAGAAGCTATGTGTATTTTTTAAAAGGAAACTTATATGCCTAAATAAATTTTGTTCTATTGACAATCTAAACATTTAAAACTTGAAATTGCGGAAGAGTAGCAGAAATGAACAAACTTTTCTGGTGGCAGAATTGCGATAATTAGTGTTCTGAACTGTCGAAATTTGTGCCACAGAACCGCTATGGAGTTTATTACCAGTCAACGAACGATGCTTTACTCAATAGCCATCTCACATGGGGATTCCGTCAGCCTCCTTTTCCACAGCATTTCATTTTGACAATTATTCTATGCCGCGGCTACTCCATTCGCTACGGCAGCGTTAGCTGTAAAAATTCAACTCGTCGTATCTTCAAACTGTCGATTTCTTTCGTTCTGAACATCTTCTTCTTTCTTCTTTGGAAGAAAATAAATATGTCGTCGTACAGTGTTTACTGCCATCTACAAAGCTGCTCAAGACTATCAGCATTGAAAAACAATGTTTGTCTGATAGGCTTATCTCAGCCTCACTTCATTCTTTATTAGCGTAAACAAAGTGTTGAAAATTTCAAAAAAAGTGCTTTTTAAGGGTTATTTATGTGTATTTCTTTTTAAAACAGAGCCTAGAAGAAAAGATGGTGGAGAAAAATGTCAATTAAAAATTTTTTAGTTCAAGCAATCATTGTAAATCCTGACTTTATTCCTCGCGTTGATGGTGTTAGCAGAAGATGTTTTATCACCTCAATATGCCGATTTCAATTCACTGGATGTATATACATTTCTGAAGAAAAATGCAAGGTTACCACTAAAGCTTCAGAATACCAGTGGTACTCTTTAGTCAACTGTTTTAAATTAATCTTTTAATGACATTGTCTCTCTGATAGAAACGGCTACTCCGTAACTTCTGATAAAGCTTTCGTCATAAAACTGTCACAAGCAACAAGTGAACAAAAGATAAAATAAAAAACTGCTTCAAAAAACGTCTTTTTTGCAGATAATTTAAAATAGCACATTTAAAAGAATGAAATAATTGTTTCTTAGCGAACAAGTTTTATTCAGTTAAAAATATATCACCTTTTTCCAGTCTTCTGCCAGACTTCAAAATATTATAAAGATAAGTAATATTAAAGCAAAATATCTCAAAAATAATTTTTTATCAAAAAGAAAAGTGCCAAAAACTAAATCCTATTCTTTTTTTGGTGATGAAACTTTTTTTTTATTGAGCTATTACAAAATAGCTTTGTAAAAGTTTTCACAAATAGCATGAAATGTCCAATTTTAAATATACTATACCGATTTAGAGTAAGTTCCATTAACGTCGACCTCTTTTCCAATCAGGTCACAAATGTCATCGGTGTCCACCCGCGTGAACACTGACTAAAATACTGTTAACTTAACGATACTGTCTGAATAATTAAAACTTAATCTAATTTGAATTGACTAAGCAATTATAGAATACAATTCTTTATTTTAATAAAACTTATATTTTTTTTTGAACACCTTTTTTTACTTCTAGAAAACATTTATAAGTGACACTTTTTGAAAATTATGAGCTATTTACTGCACATTTCTACAACGTCTACGTAAAGTCGTTGATGCGCACTTTTCTGTCTTTCGTTTAGATGAATATTAAAGTAAAAGGATTAAACTTTTTGATAGGGTAAAAAATTTTTTATTATTTTTTTACCAGTGTTTAAAGAAATTTCAGAAGCAGTAGCAAACTAGAGGCAGTGTTACAATAACTTTTGAAACCCATAAGCAACCAACCAAAATTTCTCTGTATTGAAGCTTTTATTTTTTCAGCTACTGATTAGCCAGAAAATCCTATATGAATGACAATGAAATCCTGTTTTTTTTGCATGATGAGACGGTATGTCGTTGTAGTAAAATTCCATCTGTAAAATAAAAAAAAAAAAAAGAACAATTAGTTTAAAAGTTTTTTAAGAAATAGCATGAAATATAATGTAAATGTAGTTTTTTCTGATTGTAAAAATAATTGTATAAATACAAAAAAAAATAAAAAATAAAAAAATAAAAAAAATGTAGCATAGAAAATACAGAAAATTCTACAAGCAGAAATAAAAATAGAAAATTTTTTTGACTTAACCTTCAAAAAAACAGGATCGTTTTGAATCTGACTTGGATTGCTAGCTGAGCGCAATACGGGATGTGTGCATTTTTCTGATTTTCAAAAAAAAAAGGCTGAACAGTGGAACATCACTGCAAAATGCTTTTGTTTTAGTAACTAAACTCTTTCGCATCTATTCAATCCTTGAAACTTGAAAGCAGTTATCTTTCTACTTATCATAGCAACCACTACAGATCACAGAATACTTATATATA